GGAGGGAAGCAGGGGAAGAGAGAATGCCAAAGGACCTAGTTAGTGAATGATACTGGGCATGGGTATTATTCTGAATGTTTTTAATTTCTTTTCCCCCCAACACTACACACACACACACACACACACACACACACACACAAAACCTGTGTGGAGTGAAAGGAAGGTCACCACAGGAGAACGAGAACTACTGCTTGACTGTAAACCTTGGTACTAGGCCGCTGGGTGCCCCGCACTTGCACTTGGCAGAGACTCAAACCAGAGGCCAGGGGAGGAGTGGAAAGAAGTTTTATGGTGGTTGCGCTGTGGCTGGGGAATTGGGGCTGGCAGCCGAGAAGAGGAGGGGCCTCCAACATATCCAATGAGGGGGAGCATATTGCCTTTTCTCCTATTGAATCCAAGTTTGGGGATTGTCTGGGTGGGGTGCTCTGGGGGAGAGGGCAGCAAAAATAAGAGGGAGACCTTTGGGTCCATCCTGATCAGGACTTTCGGGCATGCCCACGGGGTTAGTGGCCACCAGAAGTGTGTTTGTGGCTCCAGCCAGGAACCCCTCCTTCGTCCACTTCAGTCCACCTAATACCCTCCCAGGATGGGGAGAATGCATGTGTTTAACCAGGACCACAGAGGTCGGAATGGCTTATTCATGTGTCTCCATTTCCACAGGACACAGGAGTCAATATTCTAAAAGTGATGCAACCTGCATTTTTCATGTCTGTTGAAAGAAGTTTCTGTTTCAGGTACTGCTATGTGTTATTTATAAACTAGAGGCCTGGTGCACGGGTCCCTCAGCCTGGCCTGTGCCCTATCGCAATCCAGGACCCCTCAGGGGATGTAGTAGTGCTCCAAGTGGCAGGAGGCCGGGGAGGAGCCCGAGCCCGGGCCTGGCGTCGCCCTGCTTCCACTCATCCTGCCCCATTGCTCCTGCCGCAGGCTCACGCCCAGTCAGTCCAGATGGGGAGAGGCTCTTGCCTCTACAGAGGCACCAGCCGTGAGCCCAGTGTTTGGCACCTGTCCGTTAGCTGAGCTGCGCTCCTGGAGGCATTGAGGGTCTGCCCCTTAGTGGTCAGTGCGCATTATAGCAACCGGTCGACCGGTCATTCAGTTGTCAGCTCGACGGGTCACTTAGGCTTTAATATATATAGACTAGAGGCCTGATGCACGAAATTCTTGCAAGGGGCTCAGCCCCCACCACTGCCGTGGCTGCCTCTGCCTCAGCCCCTGCAGCGCCGTGGCTTAGTTCAGAAGGGCATCCAGAAGGTCGTCCGCAATGTCATCTGGTCTAATTAGCATTTTACGCTTTTATTATTATAGATTATAGATGATGTGTGGGAAAAAAAGACAAGTGCTAGTATGACTACCCACCCTGCACTTCTAGACTGCCTTCCACTCCCCACTGCACACTTGCATCTGTGGTCATTCCCTTTGCCTGGTCCCCACTTACCTCTACCCCTCCACCCCCCAATCCATGGTTTTGCCCATGCTGAACTGTGTAAAGTTTCCCCCACGTCCTGCGTGGTTCAGGGTTCAGGATCTGGAAGAGGGCCACTCACAAATGAAAGAGACAAGAAAAGAAATAATAATTTGGAAATATTGGGGGGCCAGGCGGCCAAGTCCAACTCAAGGGGAAGGACTTCCACTGGTGCTCAGGCCTCTCAACCTTTTATTGGTTTGGGATCCACCCATGGCCCTTAGGCAGCCAATTTCCAGTAATAGGCAGACTAGCCCATCAGCAAGGATTTACATAATAATAAGTGGGGAAGTTGCTTCAGCTACCATTGTCTGGACTAACAGTGGGTACACAGCCCTGACCTTTGCCAGGGCTTCAAGGGTCACCAGCCTTCCAGGTTCCTTGTCCACACCTCTCTGCTAGGGAAGACAATAGGTGGCTTCCCACACTGAACCAACCTGGCCAACTGGTCCACCTCTTTTCTTTTCTTTTTTTAATTTTATTTTCTTATTAAAAGTATTACAAATAGTAGTACATTGAAGTATGGTACCTATTTGCTTTGTTTAACAATGGACAGGTTATTTTGATTTTCTGAATTATATAAATCATCCCATTCGATTAAATGCCTTATTGATTGTAATGTGAATATCCCATGGGTTGTGGTCATACTGGTCTTAGAAAGCACATTTTCCTTTACCTGGGAAGGACA